ACTACTCTTAAATGTAGATGAACACCTAGTAAATGATGAAAAGGTCCCAGTGGTTGCCCCAGGCAACAATGCAAATTACAGGACGGTAAGAGACAGAATTGTTAGAAATTATTTTAACTAAATGTCTCTTCCATTTCTTTCTTTGTCATGATTCTTTACTTAAATTGTTTGCTCTTTTTTTCTTTAGTTATTGTAAAAAAACCCATATTTTTCAATTTGAGATTGTTTTGTGTAAGAACTGAGAGGTGGAAAAAAGTTTTAAATATATAAGTTTATGAAAATTAAATTTTTCTAAAATGTATTGTAATAGCAATTTTATTTCACGGGCGATATAAAATTTAACGTATGCATTTATTTAAAATTTGAATTAACATACGGACTAAGATAAATTCATTTAAAAAATATTTTTGTAAAGATTGCAATTTTAAACTGCTAAACATCAATCACTTCATAATCCTTCATTGATTATGACGTTTAAATAACCATCAATCATAATAAATTCACATAGATGAAAATTTCATACGAACCTCAGTTTTACACATTTCTTTCATTCATACATTTTATTTACACTTAATATAACGTAACATCTGATGACATTCATAAATAAAAAAACTCGAGTCGTGGTTAGGCGTTCGACCCGCGTGCGGGATAAAAATAGTATTTTTCCACCCTGAGGAAGCGGAACGTTTTTCTCGAGTTCCGCGAAACGACGGACTTTTGATGCCGGGGACGATTTTTTGTGCTGTATAGACGATTCCCGGACATCACAGACAAAAATAAAGGTGAGTCACAAAATAAAGTGTCACACACAGTGACATGATGACAGTGAGAGTGATGGTAGGTTCTGCCCACAATAATCTTCGTGAATAAATAACACCTCTCCTAAAAACATGTCGTTCAGAAACAGAAATAGAACTCATTAAAACTCTATGTAACAAATAAAAAAGAGTAAATAAGGGGAATACAATACTCCAATACCAATACTCGTAACACGTCAGATAAAAATAATGACAGATACGTTAATAGAAACAAGAGTGGAAGCTGAAGTAAGAAGGATGGATGTTTAGCGATCCCAGGAACTGCAAACTCACACTACAGAGGATTGAACGTAATAAGGGGAACAAGTAACGAATGCTGGTTGCAGTTTCCTGAAATGATTATTAGAATAAATTTAAGAAAGGAAGCAGCCACCATGGCAGCTGCAAGTGGATTAAGCGAAAACCACATCAACATACTGGGCACATTCTTGGCTCATGGTTAGTCGAATCAATTCAAGTATTACTATTCTAAGTCTACATTGCAGAAAGACAAATTGGAAACTTTCTGTTAAGTGTTAAAAACTAATATGAGTCTTACAGGTTTTATAGCAGATTTTTCTCATTGATAGCAAAAAAACAAAACACACATTTGCTTTATTCATAAAGGGCGATTTTGAGTTTTGTCAAAACTTTAACTTTAAAACACACCTAATGGGGAAGTTCAAGATCTTGTATTAAGGACTGATGATGGCGATTTAACTTCGCCGAAATGCATATCCTGCAATAGGATACTTCAGGATCTATCGGCGGACACATGTAATTTAGTCTTTTATTGATTGTCAACGGATCCGAATCAACAACATACAACATAGTGTGTTAGTCTAGTAAATCAAATTTTGTTGAGCGGAGCGAGCGAAGCGAGCGAAGCTCTTATACTACACTCCTGCTTTTTTATTACAAATACTTCTCCTGAACGGCTGAAGCGATCTTCACGAAATTTAACACAGTCATAGTAACCAACCATGGGAAGGTATAAATCTGAAATGGTACAAATCGGACCATAGGAATTTTCCCTACATGAATGCAAACTTTTAGAAATTTAACATGGGCCTTATGGGTTAATTGGTTGCCATGACATTATTTGCGAGTCAACACTAAAAAGTAAACAAGAGCCTCGACATATGTTAGTAAACAAATCTAACACATTGTAAATACAGTACAAAGGAAAAAGTCGGATAAATACTAAAGTGCATATTAGTCTATTGCATGTAATACGAAATTTATTAACAATCAGTTCTATATTGAGTGATTAAATTCATGCCGTTTTTATTCAATTTTATAATCGTTCTGTTATTTTTAACAACAATGAATAGTCAACTAATTAGGCCTAAGCCTATGTTGTGTGGAGAAGGAGAATATAAAACGAGGTTATTAAAAACACTACAACATATAATTATGTAATAACAAATATCACACCGCCCTTGATTTGCAAGTAAATTTATAAAAAATGTAATGTAGCTAAAAATACAAAATCATTTTGCGAAATGAAATCACAACCACTTGGTTTACCGGTAAGATTTAAAACTAAATGGTGTAACTTAGACAATAAAATCCCAAAGGATTAACTAATATTGCCGTGTGCACTTCGACAAAAATTAATCACCAATTGAATTAGGCCTACTTTGCTCCTCTGTCAAATTCATGACAAGATATTTAACATCGTCGTTTAACCAAAATAGGCCAACCGGTAGACCTATTTTCTACCACCTCGCTTTACCCTGCGATACTAATTAACAAAATAGTTTTTAAACATTGCCATATAGTAGTCTAAATTTAAGTTGAAAAATATATAGGTACCAGATACTAGGAAAAATAAGGTTTAGGGTTAAGCAAACTGCTTATTTTGATGTTTTATTACAAATGTAATGTAACGTAAACCAATTCCTAAAGTTTTCACTTATTATTTTTAGTCTACTTCATAGTCGTATTGATAGGCCTACATTTTATTGCACAAAAGGGAAATTTTGAAAGTGGTCGACGATATATTTCTTACTTTTAACTGCTAAAATAAAACTAGACCTAAGTTATAGGCCTATACTTAAACGAATTGATAATTTCAATAATCGATTAGCCTATATCAATTATTTGCTGTTAGGAAATGATTACAAACATAAAGTTATTGTATTTATAAAAAATGCATTCTAATCCCCAAATTAAATTATAAATGGTTCAGATAAAAAAAAAACTAATTAGTGAAGTTAAGGGAAAATTATATTCTAACAAAATCGGAAGCAAAAAGTTATGACCGCCGACGATTTTCGAACCCGGGATCTCACGATCGTCAGTCGGGTAGTCTAACCACTACACCACCAACGCTGTTTAATCAACGGTGTCGACAGGACATTTCTGTTCCGCAATCCCAGTAACTGGCGCGGCAACCAACAATGCTTTTAAACATGTGTTAAAACTATTTCCACGATCCCCGTGGCTAACCCCAACCCCTCACAACAATGTTAACAGTTAAATTGAGGTACAGTAATTGAATTGGTGAGTTTGATTTTGTTTTAATACCAAGAAGACATTGAAGAAAAATAGAGGAAAGGAAATTCTACATACAAGAGGTAATAATAATATAATAATAATCTTTATTACCTTTTAATAATACAGGTCTCACATAGGCCTACCATGATTCATTTGCAGTATAGAAATTATATACATATGTAACTTAATGCAATTTAGTGTACAATGATACAACATAAATAACAGCATAGGTATTAACTTAATATCTATATTTTTGGCAAAGCCTATTGGTATATTGCTGAAACTGAATTCTGGTTTATACCACTTAATAGAAATTATATATATATGTAACTTAATGCAAGTTAGTGTACAATGATACAGCATACAAATAACAGCATATAGGTATTAACTTAATATCTATATTTTTTGCAAAGCCTATTGGTATATTGCTGAAACTGAATTCTGGTTTATACCACTAATAAAGTATGTTTATGGCTACTTAAAATGTGTCACCTATCTTACTGTTTTCTCTCATTCAAAAGTCCAATCCTCAAGTCCATTTAAATTTTTTCCTAACTATGAAATCGTGAAAGTTTTACTTTTAAATGTAATAAATAGTAATATTAACATTGGCTACTAAGCTGTGCGACATTTTGGTTACAAGAATAGCATATAATTTTGTCAAGTTTATAAGCCAGCTATACATTACTTTAACAGTTTACATTATCAAAGAAAGAGCGATTGATTACTATTAAACAGCTTCGAGTCTATGCAAATGGTTTTATCGAGCCAAGACACAAGCTATTGTCTCCAAGTGTACTTTTTAATGAAGGATTGTTAAATTTTTCTTTTATTCTGTATGTTGATTCTTATTATACAGCTTATAATTATTATACCCTTAACTATTGGTACAAGTAGACCATTAAACATCACCATGTTAGAAGTTTTTGCCTGTTTTAATCAAGTTTGTCTTGAATTATGCGCTGATCTAAATTACTACATAATTTCTGTCTAATACACAATGTTTTTGGCAAATTAGTCCTGTTTGATTGTCAAACTGGTGGATTGACTCAATATGAGCTATAGCAACAACTGTTATGACTCATAAACTATTTCATAAAAAAATATTTAGAAAATAGGATTTTAGATACTAGCGCATTCTGTGACTGGCTCACACGACTACGTTTAAAAAAAATAATATATTTTGGCAAAAGCTGGTCCATATAGGTGGAATGTAGGATGTCTACTTCTGTATCCAATTGTCAATTATTATATCTGATTGACTGTTACTAAACACTGTTTGAAATTAATATTTTGATTTTATTTACTATTTTGATTCATTTAGCTTAATTATGAGGGTTGTTTTCAAGTTAACTATCAAAATGTGTATGTTTTCTCAGGCAAATGCCACGTTTACGGAGAGGTGGGGCCAATCTTGGGCGACGCACCGTTAACGCATCCCGTCATGTTTGGCGGGCGACTACAACTGATGAAGAGTATGCTCAGAGGTTTAAGCAGAATTTGGATGAACTTTCGTATCAACCATGCTCAATCTGTAAACGCTTGGACATAGTTAGCAATGATAACTACATTTGTACATCATGCATCAAAAATCCCGAAAAATTCTCTTCGGCAAACAACATGCAACCATCAATCGTTCCTGCAGAACTCCAAAATCTTTCAATGATTGAACAAATGTTAATAGCTCGAATCCACCCTGTCATGCGGGTATACCAGTTTAAAGCGTGCAGATCATTAGGTCAATATCATTACAAAGGACATGTAATAAATGTTGAACAAGATATAACTGATATCGCTACATCGCTGCCAATCGCCCCTTCACACCTTGGGATTGTGATTGTACGCCGCGCAGGAGTAACTGGTTATTCCGATTTCCGTGTGAGGAAGCAAAAGGTCCTACAAGCACTTCATTGGCTACAAACACATAATCAATATTATGCTGATGTTCATATAGATATGGACGTTATTGAGTCTTTGCCATTGGATGACAGTGTCGCTGATGAATTAAGATATATTGACGAAGGTGGTTTATCTAATGAATCATTTGACAAAGATCATATTGAAGAAACAGCAGTTCCACTAATTCCGAGACAAAGTCAAGAATCCGCTATAATAAACCAAATAAAATGGCCAAGAGCTTCACCTATTCCCATCAATGAATTTACACACTCCGGTTATATTCCACAAGCATTCCCCCATTTGTTCCCAAACGGTGCTGCAGATTTCCTTGACCTAACTAGGAACATCAAGGTTTCATTTCGAGAGTGGTGTGAGTTTCTTATGAGATATGAAGACAAACGATTTTCTCAAGATCCTCGATTCCGATTTTTCTGCTTGAATACAATGCAAAGACACGATGCCTGTCGACAGAGTGCTATATTCGCTAAAAAAAATGACTTTTGTGGTAATATAGCACAGTTAGAAGTGGAAGTAGCTAGAAACCCGTCAATAATAAAACGTTTGCTGACATGGGGTTCCAAAATCCGTGGCACTTCATCATTTTGGTACCAACGACGTTTAGAGCTTCAGTCAATGGTTAATCAGCTGGGCATACCAACATTGTTTCTTACGTTAAGTGCAGCAGACCTTTGGTGGAGTTGTCTGGCGAGGCATTTTGGTATATCTGTTGAAGAATTAAATTTACTTACCGAGAAGCAAGCAAGCCAAGTTATGCAAGAAAAACTTAGTGAAAACCCACTTATTGCAGACGAGTACTTTTCAAAGCGTGTTTGCATTTTTATGGACATATTGAAGGAAAAGTTAAAGATAACAGATTTTTGGTGGCGTTTTGAATACCAACACCGCGGTAGTCCTCACGTTCATGCTGTTCTTTGGCTTGAAAATGAGCCTGATGTCCGTACATTCGATACTGCATCAATTGATGATTTAGCAGTTCATAAGGCGTATTATGACACTATCGTGTCAGCTTACAACCCTGGAATAGACGCACCAAGAGCTGAAAAGCATCCTTCAAGTGTTTGGGCAACTGATATAGTTCTGGGAGATCCAATACATTTTGCACAACTATTGAACAGAGTGCAGCGACACACTCAACACAGTGTTTACTGTCTAAAAGATCCCTCACATCCACAAGAATGTCGCTTTAAATTTCCAAAACCAAAATTGTTGGACTCTACATTGTCAAGAGACGAACAAGGAGTTTGGCAATATAAATCAAAGCGTAATGATGAACTCTTGAATGACCACAACCCCTTTGTGTCCCAACTGTGGCGAGCAAACACTGATTGCAAGATCATAGCATCTGAACACGCTATTGTAAACTATATATCGAAATATGCGACAAAAGGAGAACCCCAGTCACAAGATTTTCAAACACTTTTCAAAGAAATCATGACTAGCTGTACACCCAATGATCACGCAAAAAAGGCATTCACCAAAATGTTAACTAAAGTGATAGGTCAACGAGATATTTCAGCATGCGAAGTCATGCATCTCCTCACGGGCGATCCTCTGTACCATTCCAGTAGGCAGTTTGTAAAGCTATACATTTCTACTGATGACTATGTTGCTGTGGCAAATACAAGTACAGATACAGATGAGTTTATACAAACTTCTATCATGGATCACTATGCTATGAGATCAGCAACACTTGAGCCAATGACGTTATGCGAGTTTGCCACAAAGCACAAGATTGTTCGTGGTAGGCTTATCAACCACAGAAAATCACGTGTCCTTCAGCTCCGTCCGGTAGTATAACCTGGAATAAATGAAGAAAATGATGAAATTTACTACAAGCAAAAATTACTGATGCACATTGCATGGCGAAACTGCGAAGCTTTAAAGACACACACAACATGGAAAGAATCCTTTACTTCACGGAACCTTTCATTGTGGGAACTACCAGAAATTGAAGACATCGATACTGACCACGTAGTACTACCAGAAGAAGACCACCATGACTGGCAGAAGTTGGCAAGAACACTTCCCAACCAAGCACCTCAGGATGTGATACTAGGTTACCGTGATATGGATCGAGAGTACAATGGGTTTGGCACTTATGACAAATATCCTGGACTAGAAGAGAACTTAGATTTCATACAGAAACAGAAAGAAATACAAGTAAATATTACAAACGATCATTCTAATAATGTGTTATCGCCTAATGAGGGTCAACAGAAAATACTGGACCACCTAGCACAGCAACTAGCGAATGAATCAAGTGAAAAGCTTACACTCGTGCAAGGGGGGGCTGGAACCGGAAAGTAATTTATTATAAATAAAATGGTACATATGATTGAATCCCTGCATGGTAGCTCAAGTGTTATTTTGATGGCGCCAACAGGTGTGGCTGCCAATAATATAAACGGACAAACAATACACAACGCACTACATATAGTCCAAACACGAGGTGGTACTGTTTCCGATCTTACAGGTAAGGCGGAGCGCCAATTACAGGAAGATTTCCGTACTGTCAAAGTAATTATTTGCGATGAGATGTCAATGGTTGGCACTCGAATGCTCTCCATGATAGACAAACGTCTGCGTCAAGCATTCACTAATCGTCAAGAATTACCTTTTGGTGGTTGTATTGTCTACTTTTTTGGTGATTTCAACCAGTTGCCACCAGTTCTGGATCGCACATTACTAGCTCCAGCAGACCCAAGAAAAGTTTCTTCAATTGAAGGAAGATTTCTTTTTGAGCAGTTCAAAACAGTATTTGAGTTGAAGCAGGTGATGCGTCAAATTGGAGATGATCAGAACTGTTTCAGAGAAACTTTAAAGCGTATGGCTCTAGGCCAATTAACTCTATCTGACTATGAATTGCTTAAAACACGATTTTCATCAAACAACGTTGCTACAGTAAAAAGTTTCACAAGCGCAATTCGAATAAAAGCAAGGAAAGACGCCGTACATCAATACAATCAACTCATGTTACGGTCTTCAAACAAGCCTGTTGCTTTAATAAAAGCAAAACATAACAACTTAACAGCATGTGGTGCATCAGAGGATGAAGCCCAAGGACTACAAGCAACTCTGCAGCTATCTCAAGGTTGTCGCGTAATACTACGCCAAAACATCTGGACCTCCCAAGGCTTGTGCAACGGCAGTCTGGGGAATGTTGTTGATATTGTCTATGGACCGAATAGATCGATGGAAGACTTTCCAATTTGTATTTTGGTCCATTTTGATGGATACGAAGGTCCAACTTTTAATGGCTCTCTTCCGATATTACCACTCACTGTTGGATACCGAAAAAACAACGTGTCCTGTACAAGAAGACAGTTTCCCTTGCAAGTTGCCTATGGTATTACTGTCCATAAGGCTCAGGGAATGACAGTTGACAAAGCAGTAGTTGACATTGGTACGACAGAGTTTGCCCTGGGTCTTACGTATGTTGCAATGTCACGGGTTCGGTCCATCGAAGGACTTATAATTGAACCAGGCTTTTCTCAAGACCGCCTTCTCAAGTGTATCAACAATAATGCGGGTTGGGAAACTAAACGTAGAGAACTGGCACGTCTGCGTTCACTTATACAGCAATGAACACTATTATTATTCTTATTATTTCATTATTACTTAATACTCTGCAAAATTCCTATAAATTGATTTGATTTGATTTGAAATCATGTATTTTTAACTGTGTGAATGTTTTCTTAACTTGTATTATGTAAATAAATGCTTTTTTGTACTGTTAAGTCAATTTTTTAGTAACTAAAAATTATTAAAACTTAATATATTAAATTAAAACTAATTATGACGTAAACAATAAATTTGTCGTTACATTTTTCAAAATTATTGATTAATGTGCTTGCTCCGCTCAATATTGCAAGCAGACAACTGCATTGTACTCCTAGTATAATTAAGCAAGTGGTAGTCAGAAGTATAACCATATTATGTGTAACGGTATAATATATCTAAACCGGGGCGGCATTCTGTTTCCTAAAATCTATGCTTTAACTTCGTTTAGATTGTTGTCGTTATTGCTTGATACAGGAGGCTAAGGATTGATTTGGCTGCGTTTCCTTCCGCGTTGATTGCTTTCTGTGAGCCTGGAATTGAATTCTTCACTGTTCTTCCACACAAATTTAATCTATTAGCTGATCGTAAGTATTGAATGTAATTACACTAATGTTGTTTTATTTATCACTTAATTTAAGTATATAAATAAATTACCTTGTCATATTATTTTATACGCTTAGCCTAGATATAGTACCAACTTGACGAAAAGATGAGGGGTATATAATTGCATTTTTTTGCATTGATGAAACTAAGATATCCTTTACAAATAGGCATACTGCGCTTCAGCGTTTGAGCATTTGTACTGAAAATCGTACTTTAATATTCACCAAAGCCAATATTCATGATATTATAATTTAAAATATTGACCTAAGTTATAGAACATATAATCATCTAGCCTTGATGACCAGTAGGCCTAGTTTATTTAAGTCAGGCCTAGTCATAGGCTGGATGATTATTAATTCCGCAAATACACTATGCCTAGGCCGATTGTCCCAAAAACAAACAAGGGTAAGTAATTAAGTAGCCTCATTCATAAATTTTATTTTGTTTGTAATTAGGCCTATCCTGAACTAAGCTAAGTACCTAAACCGATCTAACCTAACGTAACTTGTACGCTGTAGCACACGGTAAAACCGTGGTAGATGGTCCCGTTCTTGAGTATAAGCCTAACTTACCTCTAGTAAATATTATCAAAAGCCTATAAACTATTGCTATAACGAACAAAATATGTTTATTTATATCGGCTGCAACATCGGTTATTAAGTTACCCGTCCTACACTCATTCGAATGAATATATCGATTGATTTATCGATTATGTCATTCGATACATGAAGTCTGAATAGTTAGGTTAGGAATAAACTAACCTAACTAATAAACTTACTAAAAATTAATAAACTTACTTAAGTGCAGCCTCGATATCTTTTGGTGTTACCAAAATTCAACAAATAAAACTTGTTCACTTCTAAATGGGTCATACAAGAGTTAAGTTTAGCTCTAATGTTTTTTGCACAGCAAAAATATTAAATCAGGCCAAGACTTGTATTTAAAAAATTTGTTTATCGTTAATAAAAAAAAATGTAATATGATAACTATGATACGTTAATACAACGTATGTTATCTGTGAAATTGTACCCCATCAGGTTATCATATTGTTTTAAACAAATAATTTAGGTAATAATTTTTTATATTTTTTTTTAGTTTTGCATTAACATAGATGTATATCGTTATTTTTTAGATGTCGTCCTATACCTTAATGATGGCTACAGTGAGTGCCGAGGGGAGAGGAATGTGCGACAGTATGCGGGTGCTAATTCAGTTGTATCCCGATATAAGGCCGCCACTCTTGGCCGGGTTGCTGGGTAAGTGAAATGATTTAAAATTGAATAGCCTAAATAATTTGATACTGAATGTTACGAAAACTTAATATGTCTGGGTACTGTCTGCAATGTGCATGACTGATGAAGCCTATTGTAAACTTGCATTTTCAACTGCAAAATGGCAAATAAATTCTATATCCTTGAACCTATTGTCAGATTGCCATAGGTGGATAATATTAGAGAGTATAGAACTATTAATTACCATGGATATTTTAGCGCCTTGTTTTCTTGGTCAGGAATCGATGAAAACCTTTTTTAGCAAAGGAGTGAGGGGCATGATGTCACTCTTCTCTTTAGATAACACAATACCACAATGAATCGAAGTGAAGCTAATGTTGTTTGTGGCTGACTGGTGGTTCAGAGGTATCCAGATCGAATCCCGCCATGGCCACTTTTTGTCAAATATTTTGCTTAGAATGCAAATACTTCTGAACTGTACAATTATATCATTTAATTAACTTTGTATCATCATTCAGAATTTTTATTGAATCAACGTGACGGGCTCTCCCACGACCCCCCCCCCCTCGTTAGCAGAAAAGGTTCTCATTGGTTACTGAAGAGAAAGTAGAGATGCTAGTCAATGGATCTTAACAACATTTTCATTAATACATTTGTGTCAAAATATTCATTAGCGTGTGGGTTTTTAAACGACCTACATCTGTTAGGTTAAGTTCTTTGCACATTCAAACTTTAAATCAAAGACTGCTGGTTCGTTCAAAGCTTACTCCCAAATAATTTACATGCAAGCCTAGTGATTTTATTTATTTCAAGTTTTGAAAGGCTACTGAATTTAGGTAATTAATATTTTACTTTGGACCTGCTGTTTTAAAAGGTGTTTTGCCAGATCATTTATATGACCACTTTCTTGTGCTCCATGCTGCAGTTTATACAGAGTGTCCCGTAACTCTCTGGACACTTGTACATAGCGTTATTCCTTAGGTCAAGACAAACACATTTCACCATAGGAACATGGGTCTGTGGTGTCTAGTTTACCGACTGTCGGCATTTATGTGTTTTTTACATAAACATTAATAAATCCTAAACGGTTTGAGATACAGCTTTGATATTTTGCAAAAATGTTAATCTTATTAAGACCCATTATTGTTAGAAATTATACTAAAAACTCATTAACCGTTTCAAAATGGCGGCCATTTAAAATATTTGATGCCAAATTTCACAAAAACCGTTAACTTTACAAAAATATTGCAAGAGACAAAAATGTTTGTAAATTTTATGTAGTTTTCAATGATACCTTATTTGTTAAGATTCGATAAATAATAACAGAGAAACGTGTTGTTTTCGTAATGTATGACCACTTTTCTCCATTTAGACAATGCAAAACGTTTTCAAGGAATTCAATGCAGTATATTTTTTTAAAAATATTGTTAAATAATCGATTACTCAGGGTTGAATAGTTAACTGTTGTATTCTTAATTGTGAGTTTATATTGTATTTTTTTATTTCTCGCCATAAGTTGATAATTCAACAAATAAATTAAAAAAATATATTGGAATTTGAAGTTGTCAGCAGAGTTTATTTCAGATTTTTACTCAGCTGCAAAGTGAAAAAGAAATTTTTTTAAATACAAAACCAAGAGTCACATATTTTGTGTTTTTTTTTTATTTGAATAAAAAGTTTAAGGGCCATTTGCTTAGTAAAGTTAGAAACCCTATATTTTATTTTGAAAGGTTATAAAAAAACAAGAACTACTAGTTAAGGCTTGGAAACATTTAAAAATTTGAAATCACTGCCTTGGTTAGACAATAATTTGTGTCTTACACTAATCTAGCATGGACTGCATTTTTGGACGGATTCAGAAATTTTAATTCTTAATAAGGAATTGACTGGCATCTCATCTCAATTCCTAATAAACGGTATCAGCATTCTGACACATACTTTCTCCCATAAGTTTGTCAACAACCTTTATCATATTTTGTAAGCGGTGAGAGTAAATATACGGAATTGGGATTAGTATAATCTTGTTAAGAATTTAAAGGACTAGGCTACATACAAAATGTTTATCAAAATCGTTTTGGGCCAGTTTTGTGAAAATCCGATTTTTCCGTTATTTTATGGGTTTTTTATGGGAAAATAACATAATATACAATAACTTTTGAACCGTAATTTTTACAGAAATGGGATTTGTACCATTTTGTTTAGAATATAAAGGACTATAACATACCAAATTTGTATCAAAATCGTTTGGGCCGTTTTTGGGAAAATCCTATTTTTCCGTTATTTTGTGGGGTTTTATGGGAAAATTCCCATAAAAAATTATTTTTTTTTAATGAAAAAACTATCAAAACTTTAAGGACCATAACATACTATGTTAAACTAAAACCGGATTTTTTTCCTAAAATCCTATTTTTCGTTATTTTACGGGGGTTTTATGGGAAAATAACATAATTTACCATAACTTTTGAACCGTAATTTTTAGAGAAATGGAATTTGTACCATTTTGTTCAGAATTTAAAGGGCTACAACATACTAAATTTTTTTCAAAATCGTTCGGGCAATTTTTGAGAAAATTCGATTTTTCCGGTTTTTTATGGGTTTTTATGGAAAAATCCCCATTAAAAATCAAAATTTCAAAAAAAAGAAAAAAACGCCTGGAGATACCATGGATTAGAACCTACATACCAAATTTCATCGAAATCGGACCACAGGTGTAGTCCCTAGCTCTGTACACATCCAGACACACAGACACACACACACCCACACACACACACCCACACACACACACACACACACACACACACACACACACACACACACACAGACATCACTTCGAAAACCACTTTTTTTGGGTCCAGGGGGACCCAAAACGAATATATCCACTCAAAACTCAAACTCGAAAATTTTGACGAAAACAATACTTTCTCCATATACTATGGTATAGGGGGAGAAAGTAAAAATGACAATCTGCCAATAATCATAACTAAGTTTTTGTTTTACAACTGTAAATAAAAAAAATGAGCGGAGTTTCATTTATATTCCAGTTTTCCGTTCGAAAACGTTATGAAAACTATTTAAAAAATTGTAAGAGGTACAAAAAATGCACTTGCACAAGTGGCAAAAAGGACAGGAGAAATAACTTCAAATGAAAATAGCCTTTTAACACAGAAAAAAGTTCCGGATGAAATATAT